GCCTTTCTAACCAGTTTTCTGAGCTATAAAGTGCTAAGTGTATATCTAGCATGGGGCTTCTATGTGGATTAAAAATAACATGTGAAAGACATAAAACGTGTCTCAAAACAGTAGCTCTCATGATACAAATGAAGACACATGTGCACAACATACACAAAGCACTCCCCTGCCCCACCCCTCCCTGCCCAATCACAGGGGTTGCTGTGTGTTCTCTCTCTCTTTTTCTCTCTCTCTCTCCATCCCTCCCTCTCTCTCACCCTCTTCCTCTCTCCCTCCATCCCTCTCTGTCTCCCTCTCCCTCTATACCTCTCTCTTTTCCTGGAAATTCAGAGTATTCAAACAGAAGGGACTAGTCTTTGAAATTTTGTAAAAGGAATTAAAATTAAAAATCTCTTAGCCACAAAACTGTCTNTTATCTTAATATTCATTAAAAATTTAGAAAATCATTTTCAAATCAAAGGCTAAAAATGATTGCTTTTCTCATTCAGAGGGACACTTCTAAATTCACCACAAGTACTAAAGAATCTATTGTTAGAAACATAAAAAAAGCACAGTTTTTCAAGTATTAATTCTACCATCTTAATTTTTGGGGAAAAACCCCAATATGTGTCTATATTCTTTATTTTTAAAAGAAATTCAAAAACATATGGCAAGGGCCCAGCACCCCTCCCACTGCCCCACCCCCCTCTTGCTTAAACTTGGGGTCCCGAACCCTGAAACCCATCGGGGCCACAGTGCCCACCTACCCTAACCCAGAGCTGCTTGCTCTTAAATGAATTCTTTCCTCCCCAACTAGGCGTCTTACCAAGTTCCCTGTTCCCACCCAATCACAGAAAAAGGGGAAAAAGCCCTAAATTCCCATTATCTCTCTATAGCTAATAGCTAGATTAGAAGAAACCGCATATTTTAAAATTCTAAGGTATACATGACTAACAATCTTTTTTCTGATTTATCACAATAATTGTCTCAATTCCATAATTTCCTATATGTTTACAATAGGTATGAAGAATAACTTTCAGCTTCTTAGAGTCTTAGTCCAACTCAAAGACAGATCATGATTTTTTAAGAAAAGAAGAAAACTACCTTTCCTGCTATTAAATATTGCACTATGATAGTTCAACTGTCAAAGAGCAGCCTGGTTGTGAGGGGCTAACACGCACATCATATGAGCAGCGGTTGAGTGACTCCACATGTTTAGTGGAGATAATTTGGCGGACATTATTACCACTTAATATGAGAATCTGGGTTGACTTCTTTGATTCTGTTCCACTTCTTCCATGTATGAACCCAGAGGGCAAACCCAGAATTAACATTTTAGGAAGTTGGATAACACTTCAGGTTCAGGCAGCCATTTTCAGGAAACAAAAGCTTCGCTAACTGGGTCAGGCTACCTCAGCAGACAGCGTGTTCTCTACAACTGAGAGGCTCAGGCGAGGACAGTGCACTGGGCTTTAGACCCTTCCCAGTCTGAGACGCCATCACACCTTCAACTACCCAGGACACACTAAGTGTATGTACTAATTTACTTTAAAAACTCTCAGTATAAAAAGACAGCTCCAAAATATGTCAGAATTTTTTCTAAAAGTATAGTAATATAAATGAATCATTTTAGCACCTTTATAACAAAATATATCAAGTTAAAACAAAACAAGATATCTCGTGTTATACTAAGCAGAGCTGGACAGTCATGTTGCTCAATGGCAATCTTCTTGCTATGTGTGTGTGTGTTTGTGTTTGTGTGTTTGTGTGTGTGTGTGTGTGTGTGTGTGTGTTCAAAGAGGCTGCATGTAACTACACTCTAGGTTGCACATATATGTTTCTAGGCACAGCTTTTCTTTATTTATCCAAAGCAAATGAAGGTTTAAATCAAGGGGAATAATTTTAAAATCAGTTGAGTTTGCTTTCAGAATCCCCCAATTCAACTCTACACACCTCCTCCCTCCTGGGCATGTACCTGTCTTGTACCTCCACTCCAGCCACGCACCGTCCTTCCCGACAGAAGAATAAAACAGCTGGTAGCATTTGCTAACCACAGGCGGCCTCACCTGAAGGCTGTCTCTACATATGAGAGTATGCTATAACGGTGACATGTATTAGCTCATTGAAACCTCCGTGCATTATGTATCTGGCACAGAGTACATGTCAATAAATGTGTCTTGAATAAATGAATTATAATCATCAGAGCACAAAACTGAGAAGGGCAGAGTAGTAATCAGATGACTTTTCTATCGGTCACAGTGCAATGATTAAGGCTGGAACAAGGGTTCAGGCCCAAGAGCTCACCTCTCAAAGCCAAGCTACCTCTTGTTTTTGGTACTTTCTCCAGTCTGAGCTTATTATACTTTAATGGAATTGTTACTGACTAGTGTTACTTCAATGACTCAAGAGTTACTAATTCACTCACTAGNTCCCTTTATTCATTTGTTTAAAATTTTGCATTTTCATATATGATCTTTCTCTAAGAACAATATACCATTACACGATTTGCCTAAAGCGTAGGTCATTTCCACAAGAAGCTGGTCTATCAGTGGTTAAAAATAAAAATAAAATAAATCTTTACTGAGTGTTTGTTTATAATATATAAAGGACTGTAAGAATTATTTTTTTCCAACAGTTTTCCTTACTGCATATTTCCATTACTAAAGTGACACAAAGTGACTTAATATAGATGGTCTCGTCTCATTGTCAACAAACTATTCTCCAAGACCTTCTGTCTGTCACAGTTTCTGTTCCTGAACCCACACATGGAAACAGAGACCCTCCCTGAAAATTATCTCCATAAAATTTTCTTCCTCAAGAGATTTTCACTGAGACGATTTGGAAGGAGTAAGGGTAACTGAGGAGGACACAAAATTAAAAGGAGGGAGGGTGGGGGGGAACAGAAACAAACTGCTTCAATGGACCACGTCCCAACTTATAGGTACATAAATGAAATAATGATATTTAACTGGATTTCTGCATTTCTAAAACGCTGGGCAATGCTCTCTTCAACCATTCACACCACGTCAGTGCTAACGCTCGTTTTAGACAGTCTGCGAGAGCCGTGCTACAGAAGCTCACTGAACATACTGTGGACGGAAGGAGAGACAGTCTTGTCATAAACGCCCTCAGAAGAGGAGGTAAGAGGCTGCAGAGGTGGGATGACAGGTTCCCCCTCACACATGTCTACCTCACACGTCCTGCGTCCTTGTTTGCTACTGGTGGATTCTGCAATGGAGTCACTTCTGCGCCCACCTGTACCCACCACTGGATATGAAGCCCAAGGGGACATCTCATTCAGCCTCTTCATTCTCAATCTCAACAACAGTCTCCAGCCCTTGGTAGGGTCACTGTCGAAATTACATCCTCATAAGGACGAGTTTTTCTTCCAGCATAGCTGAGTATCGTCTTAGTTACACATTCTTAATATTATTTAACACTATTAATATTGAGATAGTAATATCAATATTAATGTTCATTTTAATATTAATTTTAAATTTTAACACATATTATCTTACCTTATATTTATATATTTATATATTATATTTATATTAACTTGTATAATATTAAATAGTAAATATTAATATTACAGAATATTCTTAATAATTATGTAACTCTTGAGTATATGTATTAAACAGTTTAAAGTATTGTTTAACTAATACAGAAAATGGATTTGGGTAATAAAAATGACACATTCAAATATTTATAAAAATGTGTTAACGATCACTGTATCACTAGGACATTATGCGACATTCTTCATTTCTCAAGACCTGCACTCAGTTTCATATCTCACATATATCATATATTCTCCCACTATATTGTTATTTATCATCATATAGTAAGTTGAAATTTGTATCTTTATATGATGTACCTTAAACACAACTCAAACTTTTAAAAGTGTCAAACCTCTCTAACTGTTTTTAAATGTCTGAGGGTGTTCATGCTAAAATATGCCACACCCAGATTTGTTCTTAATATTGGGTGATATGAGGTTTTGAGAAGAATACACCTGTCGCTCTGATTTATTTCTATTTCTCCGTCTCCCCTCCTCAATCCACATATACATGCGCACACATATACACAGATGCATGCACTCTCAAAACTACTTGGGTTTCAATGCCAAAAGCTCTCTTTTTGGTTTACTTCTTTTTTATCATAAAAATTAAGTAAGAAAATTATAGAAACTTTCAAAACTACAGTGAGGAAAAATCAGTTCTCAGCAATATACTAGTAGCATGCTTCTAAGAGCACAGCAGTTTAATAATCATTTTTAATTTTAAATATAACACTAAATATTTTGCTACACTAAATTGTAGCAAAATATTATTCCAGAAAAATAGTATATGTTTTTGCTGTTTTTAATATAAAAGTTCTTCATATTGTTGAAATCATATATAAAATTAATTTCCACCACAAAACAATACTCATAGAAATAAATGTTTGGCCAAATATAAATTCATTTAAAACCAAAATTATACTACAATATTCAAATCCCATATATTAATATATATTCAATTTGATAGAAAATTTATTTGATTTCACATTCCTTTTGAACCCACATTTCCTTTTTTATAAAAAGAATTGCTTCTTAAGTGTATGAATGTGAATGAAAACTTTAATGCAAAGATGAGTTTTTTTCCTGCTAAGCACATATAAAAACTGTTTAAAGCCTTCTTTTTGCAAAATGTACTAACATAAATATAGTTCGTAATATAAAGAATATTTTATCATCAATAACAATCATTAAAACCAAGTCTAATATTGCATTTTTTCAATGTGCTCATATCTAAATAAATTTTCAAGACTGTTTGCCAAGACTTTTTTTTAGTGAAGGATGTTTCTTTTGTATATATTTCCCCTTATTCTAACCTACTTACCTTTTTAGACGGAATAAAACTGTTATAAAATGTAAAGGCTAGTGTTTCTCTCCTTTACATTTAACTTTCTAGCATGTATTGAATGCCTGTTTTTGTCACTATAAACTAGAAAACAATCTACTGTCAATCTGAATGACATCTTACCTTCTGGTTTGTTGTTTTTCCTCTTCAGCCATTTTTCTACCGTCTCAGCACTAACACTTTCAGATACAAATTCATCTAATACCTGGGGATGAAGAGAAAGATATGCCTTCACTTTTTCATCTGTCAAACCTGTAAAAGAATTGAAAATAAAATTAACCCATGCGACATCTTCATATACATAAAAGATACAGAAAAATGATACATTATGCTGCAGTTAATTTAAAATATAAATGTAAAAAGAACACAAAGATGTAAATATATAAAATGAAATATTATTCATCCATAAAAAGGAATGAAGTTCTGATACATGCTACAACATGAAGGAACCCTGAAAAGAAGTAAAATAAGCCAGACACAAAGGACAAATATTACATGATTTCTCTCGTATGAAGTATCTAGGCTAGGCCAATTAACAGAAATAGAATAGACTAGGGGTTTCCATGGGCTGTGGTGGGGGGGTGCAGAGTGGGGAAGTATTGCTCAGTGGGGACAGAGTTTCTATTTTGGGTGAAGGCATATATTATTGGAAGTAGATGAAGTAATGATTGCACACACTGTGAGTATAATTAATGCCACAGACTTGTACACTTGAAATGGCTAAAATGTGCAGGTTAAGTCTAACAAAGCACTATTCTTCGTGTGAAAATAGTTATCATAGATTTAATATTCAAGGTAAATGAAATTCTAATAATAGTACCAAACAGGAGCATATAGCACTGATACATTTTGGGTATTAAAAAAAGGTTTAATGAATAAATTCTTATCTTTTATTGTTTACAACACAAATTCTACTTTTTCTCAGGGGCACTAAATCCAGTGATTAACTACTGCTCATTTAAGAAAAATCTTCTAATGTGTTCACTGATATTCTATGTATATAGTCAGTTTCGCTGAAATAATTTTCATAGTCTAGTAACTGTACTTTAATATACATAGGATTTTCAAAGCACCTTTACCTGTTTTCATATTGAATACATAAAATTATGTTTTCCAATGGGTGGTTCATGTTGGTAAAGTGAGAGGAAGCTCCACTGAGAGCAGGTCACAGTCCCCCAATACAAAAGGCCCAGGATGCTGAAGCAAGCTGAGGCTGACTTGACCTTCAAGAGGACAATGCCCACTCCGTGCTCTTTGATTCCGTCCTCCCCCGCGGTAGACATTTGATTCCTCCTTTAAGTTTCCTTCCATCACTTTTGTGACGCAACGCTACCATTCTTATCCTAGCTTCCTATCTGCTTTTCACATCTGCTTTCTCTTCATTAATCTATGATGCTCACTGCAAATCTGAATCAAGAGTCTTAATGTATGTTTGATCTCTAGTCCTTGGAAATTCTTCCATCACCTCAGGGTTCATCTTGACTCAAAACTACATGAGTCATCTCCTTCCTACTTCTTTCCAAAGTCATTTAACTCTCAACTTTCCTTTTTCTCTCACTCTCCATTTTTTCAGAAACCCAGGCTGAAAATATAAAGTCATAATTGACTCATCCCTCCTCGTCATCTCACTTCATCTCAGTGTTTTATTACCCACGTCTTCTTTGCCAAATGACAAAATTACATATCTGACAAAGGACTTGTATCTAAAATATACAAAGAATGCTTAAAACTCAAGAAGAAAACAACCCAATTAAAAATGAGTCAAAGATCTAAACAGGCACTCTACCAAAGAAGGTGGTAAATTAGCGAATGAAAAGATGTTCAATTTTTATTAATGAACTGAGGTGAAAAGAGGAAATGAGATTCTACCTACCTCTAAGAAGGGCTATAATCAAAGAACCTAACAGCATCAACTGTTGGGGAGGACGCAGAGCAGCAGAAGTTCTCATCACTGCTAGTAAGAATGCAAATGCTCATCACTTTGGAAGGCTTTCTGGCAATTTCCTATAAGCTAAACGTGTCTTACCACATGATCCAGCATCACAGGACTAGGCATCTACCCGCCTGACAGGGAGACTTGGGTCCACACAGAAGTCTGCGTGTGAATGTTTACAGCAACTCTATTCGTTGTCACCCCAACAGCTACGACCCAAGATGCCGGGCAATCGGCAAGCACAGGAGTCACAAACTGCGGCTCGCGAACCACATGCAGCTCTTTGGGTACCTTCCATCTCAAAAGTTTGCCAACCCCTAGAAGAGCCAATCCTGTCCCTCACAACAATTTAAAAATTATTCGGGTCATAAATATATTTTTACATAATCACCATTATGTGAATAATATCCTTTAAAAATTTTATAAATGAAACTATGATAGTTTTATTTTCATTTTCAATTNTCGTCACAGGATGTAAAGTACAGCATAGGGAATAGAGTCAATGGTATAGTAACAACTATGTACAATGTCAGAGGGGTAGTAGACTGGAGGTGTCATCACTTTGTGAGAAGTATAAATGTCTAATCATTATGTTGTTTTATACACCTGAAACTAATAATATAAAAATTAAACAATAAAAAAAAATTATTGGCCATAAAACATGGCATTGCTACTCATAATTTTTAGATATTTGGGGTTCAATCAAACACCCCCTCTTGAGTACCAAATAGCTTTCCTTTAGAAAACGAATATCAAAGTTACATTTTTACATTAACCGACATATTTTATATATTACTCTAATACCAGAATATACCAGATACAGTCATGCTGACTTTCAATGTTCTCACTTCTTCACACACCCCTTCTAATACCACTAACATTATCAACTAATCATTTTTTATATTAGAAGAAGGGAACATTGACGATAGTCAAGGTAATTCATAATTCTTCCTGAATGTAAATGAAATTCTGGAATGGCATCAGGTGAGACTGTGGTCCATCTTAGAACGTTCTTACAAGAAACACAAAGGGTGGGAACTTCATCAGATCCTAGTTTTTATTTACTAATTTTATATTTATACTTTGATATGTGTGTAGATGTTAAATAATTTAGTAATCTGAGTCTTGATGAATATCAACTGGGCCTGTCAAATTTCTTTGCATGAAAATATAATATTTAGCAATACAAATCATGACCTAGAATTTTCTTTCTTTGCTAAGTTTTTTCCAAAATGAAAGTATGGTTGTAAGGGTGTACAGGCTTAAGTGCTTTCTCAGAAAATGTGTATTTATTTTCTAAATTAGTATTTCAAGTTATAAAAAATAAATGCTAGCTTCAATTTCCAAACATCACTTGAAAATCATTGTTTGGAATTTAGGATCAGACATCAACCTTCAAAGAGCAATTTGTCTTGCAACTACATATAGAACTTTCTTTACGCATCCGAAATGAAAATGGCATGAAAGTGAAAAAATCGAACTACATCAAGAACAGTAAACTCTTTGAAATTTATGTCTCTGAGGACATGCGGTGGTCCACCGTTCCCAAACCCCCTTCTCTGTCAACACAAAATTGAAAGTGACTCATTGTGGTCCCACTCTCTCCACGAGGCCACTCTAGCTCCAGGATTCCAAGCCCGACTGTGCTTGGACTCACTGTCAGACTAACGAGAAGAAGGCAGAAACTTATAACCTTCTTCATCTATGTGTTAGAACTGTGAACTCCCTAGAAACTTAAAAATCCCAGAACATAAGCCATGCTTTACATGTAGTTTGCTAAATAAATGAGAAAACAAGGCACCTTGATAGATTTAAAAATATTTAACATAACCCCTCCCCTCAAAAAGCTTTTAAGTGAATATGGGGGAGACTAGGAGAGCATAAAAGTAGTTCTGGTGTCAGGAATAGTGTGATAACCAAGCGCAGTGACAAGTGTCTTAATGGTTCCCTAATGTACTCAGGCATTCATTCAAAAATGTTTACAGGACCCCATGACGTGTGAGCTGCATTGCTAGGAGCCCTCCAGATGCTCACATATGCGCAGTCCTGTCCCATGATTCCATTGAGAACTAGCAGCTGGACCTCTGGTGGTCCTTTAGCTCCCCTGCAGTTCGAACAGCTGCCCCNACACAACTGCCCAAAATCTATGGGATGTAGCAAAAGCAGTCCTAAGAGGGAAATTCATAGCAATGCAGGCCTACCTAAAAAAGCAAGAAAAATCTCAAATCAACAGTCTATCTTTACACCTAAGGGAACTGAAAAAAGAACAGCAAAATAAGCCCAAAGTGAATATAAGAAAGGAAATAGTAAAGATTGGAGTGGAAATAAATGAAGTAGAGACCAAAAAAAAATAATACAAAATATCAATAAAACCAAGAGCTGGTTTTTTGAAAAGATAAACAAAATTGACAAACCTTTCACCAGAGTCATCAAGAAAAAAAAGAGAGGATCCAAATAAATAAAATAAAAAACAAAAGAGAAGTGACCACAGACACCACAGAAATACAAAAAAATCTTAAGAAAATACTATGAGCAACTATATGCCAACAAATTAGACAATCTAGAAGAAATGGATAAATTCCTAAAAACATATATTCTTCCAAGGCCAAATCCAGAAGAAACAGAAAATCTGAACAGACCAATTACTACCAATGAAATTGAATCAATAATCAGTAAGTTCCCAAAAGTCCTAGATAAGATGGATTCACAGGTGCATTTTACAAAACATTCAAAAAATACCTATTCTTCTCAAACTATTCCAAAAAAATCCAGGAAGAGGGAAGGCTCCCAAGGTGATTTTATGAGGCCACCATTACACCCTGATCCCCAAACCAGATAAGATATTACAAAAAAAAAAGAAAACTATAGGCCAATATCCCTAATGAACATAGATGCAGAAATCCTTAACAAAATATTAGCAAACTGAATTCGGCACCACATTAAAAAGATCATACAAACAAGTGGGTTTTACTACTGGTATGCAAGGTTGGTTCAATATCTGCAAATCAATTAATGTGATACATCACATAAATAAAATGAAAAATAAAACTCATATGGCCATATCAATAGATGCAGAAAAAGCATTTGACAAAATCCAGCATCCGTTTATGATAAAAACTCTTAACAAAGTGGGAATAGAGGGATCATATCTCAACATAATAAAGGCCATATATGATAAACCCACAGCTAACATCATAGTCAATGGGGAAAAGCTAAAAGCATTCTCCTTCAGATCAGAAGCAAGACAAGGCTGCCCACTTTCACCACTTTGATTCTACATAGTACTGGAAGTTCTAGCCACAGCAATCAGACAAGAAAA